ACATGATCACTCGAACCACACGGATCTGAAAAAATAAATATTAAAAAAATTCTTTTTTTTTTTTTGACAATAAGAATTGGTTAGTAAGTAACTGTGTTAATATCTACTAGTGGAAAAGTTCAAACGATTAAAGAGAATGTGAACCGCTTGCTATCCAAGATAACATGATCACTCGAACCACACGGATCTGAAAAAAGAAAAATCCCTTTTTTTATAACATAATCTGATTCAAAAGCAATTAATATTTTATATAATTTTTGAATGTTAGAGATTTAATTAAAAAAATAATAAATCAAGTCAATATCAAGTCTTCGGCCATCAACCTCTTTTTTTGCTTTTTTTTTTTTAAAATAGGTAATGGATCCTGACTCACCTCTTGCTGTACAAATATAAAGCAAGTAAATAAGTTTCGACCCTGACCTACCTTGCTGCCACTAGTGAGTCAATGACAGGTATTCGGCCCTCAGCCACCTTGCTGCCTATATATAGTACCTAGTACTCTATCTCTGCTTATTAAAACACCGAAAGCACCTTTCCATTGAATTAAATGTAAGTCGTATACTAAGGGTTGATTTGTAATTATATAATGAGTTGAGATTGATTTGCCTCTGTTTATAGTTGAGGGGTTGATTTGATTTAGGCAAAAATATGACATAAGGACCCAAACTTACACCAAATTCACAATTTCGGACCCAAACTTCAATTGCACTCAATGAAGGTCCCGAACTTCACGAAATTCTCAAATAAGGACCCAATTGGACGGAAAACTAACTTCCGTTAAATCTCCTATTATTCCGTTAATGTTCCGTCACATTTCACACTCGCTTAAAAAAATTGGTTAAATGTTAATTTTGGTCCCTCAACTTCACTAAGTTTCACTTTTTTGTCCCTCAACTTTATTAAATTTCACTTTTTTCCCTCAACTTTATTTTTTGTACTTTTTTGGTTCATAAATTATTTTTTGTTCTTTTTTGGTCCTTAAATTATTTTTTACACTTTTTTAATCTCTTAACTTTAATAACTGCACAATTTTGATACTTTCATAAGTTTAAGCCATTAACTCCACCCACTTGGTATTTTTTATATTTTTTTGATGACATATATAATTTAACTAGAAAAAAATAATAACAGGGATAAATAAAATAACATATAAATAAATATTTATATTTTTTATAAAAAAATATAAAAACCTCTCTACCTATTTTCTTCCTCCTCTTTCTTTCTCTTTCTTCTAGCGGGGGAAGAAAATAGGTGGAGAGGTTTTTTTATTTTTATTAAAAATATAAAAATTTATCTACATATTATTTTATTTATCCATGTCATCATTATTTCTAATTAGATGATCTATGTTATTATTTTTTTCCAATTAGATTATACATGTCATCAAAAAAATATAAAAAATGTCACATGAATGAAGTTAACGGTTTAAATTGACGAAAGTATCAAAATTGTGCAGTTGTTAAAGTTAAAGGATAAAAAAAGTGCAAAAAATAGTTTAAGGACCAAAAAAGTGCAAAAAATAGTTTAAAGACCAAAAAAGTATAACTTAATA